CCCTGGAGTCTTTCTCATTATACATGCCTTTGTACTATATGAATTGTTTGCCTTCTGCAAGTATTGCTTAAAAAATAAGAAATACTTAAAAATCAACTTGTCCAAAATTGGAATAATTCCCCTCTACTCTTCTGCTGGCATTGGTGACAGACAGAATCATTCATTGAAATGAGAAATCTGGCAGGCATCCTGGATTTCCTCTTCTTTACCCCTCACATCTGTCTAATCAGGCACCAAGATTTGTTGGTTCTATCTCCTAGACAAGATAATTCTCAAATCTGCCCCCTTAATTCTATCCCTGAATTATAGAACTTGGATTATAACATTTATTTTCTAACTGGTCCACTTGCTTCTTTTCTCCCTACAAAATTCTAACATACTAGTATACATCTTTACAAAATGCAAATCTGGTTCTGCCAGTGTTGCTTAAAATCTATCACTGGCTCTCCAGTGCCTGTGAGAAAAGTCCAAACTCATTAACAACCTAGATCTTTTACATTCTAGCCCAGCCTGCCGCTCTAGCCTTACTTCCCACCACCCCTCTTCATATATTTTACCCTCAGGATATAAATTTTTCCTCACATTTCCATAATTTTAACATGCTATTCCTTCTACAGAAATACTTTTCATCTGGATAAATTCCTATCCTTCCTTAAAGACCAGACTTTAAGCATGATCTCCTTTATGTAGATTTCTCTGGCTGCAAGCTCTAAGAAATTATGCATTCTTTTCCGTGCTCTCTCAGTGTACCACAGGAAATGTCTCCATTATCAAAGCACTCCTGCCTGAATGCTAGGCATTCACACTCCTTATGGACCCCAATGTGGATGCAGTATCCTTCAGCCTGCTTCTCTAGCTCTCCCCCATGGCTAGATCAGGCTTTTTCCCCGAGGCCTACCATGGGCCCCCAGCACTCTTCTTGCTTACCTAGAACATCTGGGAGATTTTCCCTTTTATTTTCAATTTTAGATTCATCATCCCCCCCGCCCCCATCCTTCTATCTCTATCTTTAGGCAAGGCCAGTTAGAATAATGGTTAAGAACACGGGCTGCCTAGGTTCTAATACCATCTCTATGACTTTTGAGTTCTGTGATCATGGGCAAGTTACTCAACCTTTCCAAGCCTCTGATTTTCTCCTCTTCAAAATGGGGATGACAACGGTAGCACTTGCCTCATAGGGTTGTTATGGAGTATTACATATTTTATTATTTGGCCCAGCTGGCATGGCTCAGAGGATGAGCGTCAACCTCTGAACCAAGAGGTCATGGTTCGATTCCCAATCAAGGCACATGCCTGGGTCGTGGATTTGATCCCCAGTGTGGGGCATGCAGAAGGCAGCTGATCAATGATTCTCTCTCATCATTGATGTTTCTATTTCTCTCTCCCTCTCCTTCCATCTCTGAAATCAATAAAATATTTTAAAAAATATTTTAATATTTGTAACATATAGAAAACACTGGTTTTGAGATAAAAATGCCTGAAGTGTGAGGTGGGAGAACCTTCTCAAATTGGCATAGGAGGCAAACCTTTTTCTCCTTTGGGACTCTTTTCTACTAAAAGTGGCTTATTAAGATTAAGAACAAGTATAGTGAAATAACAAATCTCCTGTAAATTTGGTCTATTTACCCAAATGGATAGATTGTAAGTTTCTTGAGGGCAATAATCATAGTGCAGACATATTAAACTCCTTTGCACCTACTAGACACAGGGTCTATTCCCATCACTCTTAAAATTAAATCCAGAGTTCTTATAACCCACTCACCTAGCTCCTGGCTTCTTCTCCAACTTTATTTCCTACTCTTCTTAGTCTTGCTTATTTCACTCTGGCCACATTGACTTTCATGCTGTTCTTACACCATAGCCAGATAATTCTGTTTTAGACCATTACCCTTGCTGATGCATCAGCCTAATATATTTTTCCTACAAATATTCACCTGGCTCCTTTCCTGTGTTCACTTAGGTTGCTGCTCAAATATCACCTCCTAGCAGAGGCCTTTCCTGACCTCATTCTCTAAAATAGCATTGGCTCCATGCTCCTCTTGTCAGTCAGTCTATCCTTTGCCCTGCTTTCCCTGTCTTCATAGCATTTATTACTATCTGACATATGTTTATTGAACTGAGACCTATGAGAACTGAGGTCTTGTCTGTTTTGTTCATTGCTTTGCCCCAGCACCCTGAACAGTGCTTACTTGGCTTTCAATGACTAACAAATGAATCAATCATTCAATGACTAAATAAATGAATGAAGTCAGTGCAGAAGGGGATATACAGCAAATTCTGTTCACTCTTAGAATTTTGAATATTTCATAATTTTCATTCCATGATTCTGTCTTTCAGCTTTAGCATTTTCAAGTTAAATCTATATCCATGTATAGGTTTTGTTTCAACTTTACAAACATCACCTTGATAAAATTTAAAATCCAATTTAAGTCAAGTCCAAGTTTCAAAAAAATAGCTGATCAGTTTGTTCTCCATCCCAAGGGGAAAGAATGTGTATAATTGAGTGTGTGTGTGTGTGTGTGTGTGTGTGCGCGCGTGTGCACGCGCGTGCACATGCGCATGTGTGTTTGGGAAGATGGGAGAAGAGCGGTCCATGTTCCCTAGAAGGAGAATAATTTAATTTCAATTCTTCATTTTTTGTAAATTGTTTCAAAACCATTTTAAAAACCGAATTGAAAACCAAAGAAGTGAAAGCTTTATGAACTAGAGGTTTGTAAATATAAATATATCAGAGCAGTAAATTTCTCAGGGGCTCATGCAGAGTATTGTGGAACTGTGTGAAAATGTGTGAAAAGAACCTCTGAAAGGGAGGTAGCTATAGGGCATCTGCTTGCCAGCTCATATATTCCCACAACAAGAGGAGCTGTGACCCGAGAATTTCCCTCTTTGTTCTGGGACCTTCCTCACTATGAAGTAGTATGTTCCTGCCCCTGGAGCCTAAATTCTATTTGAGCAGTTTCTCTCTATTATATACAAAGCCACTGGCAGTTGGAGGGAGGGTCCCAGCCTGCCTTAGAAGACAAGACCCTACATAAGTCAAAGCAGCAGTCAGTAGTTTAAAGAAACAATTTGAAAATCTTTTAGATGTATGGCAGCATTTAGAGGGATGGGTCTCAAACTTGAGCACACATCAGAATCACTTGGAGAGGGCTTGTTAAAATTCAGATTGCTGCCCCCCGCCCCGAATTTCTGATTCCCAGAAATTTAGAAGCAAATAAATTTGGTTCAAGCCTTGTGTGATTTACTTCACTTCTCTGACCTGAGTTTCTTCTTTTGTAAAGTATAGTTTATAAAGCTGTAGTAAGGAATAAATGGAATGATGTCTGTGGAAGTTCTTTGTGAAGTGTAAACATGGTATACAAATATTAGCAGTTAGATGGCTTCTCAATTGGTACTTGCTGCTACCCCCACCCACCAGATTTCCCTGTGCTTTGTACCCTCTCCACCCAACTTTGTCCCAACCAAGTCCATCAGGCACCCGGAAAGAAACTAAAGCCAAAAAGGCCCTGAGTAGCAAAAATTATTTTGTTTTCAATTCAATGGGCACAGCCTTGATGCTGACTTTGATTTGACCTCCTTTTTCCTCTGCCTGTGTCCCCTAAACTTGCTCTTTGTTTTTCCAGTCCTGGCAGCCTCACACAGCAAAGAACAGCTCCCAGTGCTAATATTGGGGTAAAAAGTGTCAGATGGAGTTTTTAAAAAATTAGTAGAATAAACAGAGGAAGCCACTGCTAAGTAGGAAAGCATTTGTCGGGGAAAGCATTTTGCTAAGTTGGTGGGCTCTAAGCTGATTTCCTTAAGGGCAACATCCACATGTTTAAAATAGTTAAGTGGAAGTTCAAGTATAATTGCAGATTCCTGAGGAATATGTCAGATAATTCTAACAAACAGTTGCCAGGATACATGATATGTGTATATAGAATGGTGTTCTTTTTCTTTGGAAACCTTTTCTCATTCCATGTATTCCATGAGTAATACATAAGGCCCGACCGGTGTGTCTCAGTGGTTGAGTGCCAACCTATGAACCATGGTTCGATTCCCAGCCAGAGCACATGCCCGGGTTACGGGCTCGATTCCCAGTAGGGGGCGTGCAGGAGGCAGCCGATCAATGATTCTCTCTCATTACTGATGTTTCTCTCTCTCTCTCCCTCTCCCTTCTTCTCTGAAATCAATAAAAATATATACTTTTTAAAAGTAATACATGTGTAGTATAAAAAATTTCAAAAATTTAAATAAGTGTAAAATAATTTAAATGACCCTTAATTCTGCTACAGACAGATAAATACCTACTGGTAAGAGTACATTCTATCCTAGACTTTGAATATGTATATGCTTGTATATAAATATATGTATATACATTTTTTAAATTGGGCTGGTACTATGTACAGGTTTGTATACACTTTTTCTTTCACTTGTGATTATGTCATGAGCCTTTTCTGAGATCATTAAGTAGTCTTCAAAAGCATGGTTTTTATGAAAAAAAGGGGGGGCACATATGTAATACCCTTTGTAATACTTTAAGCAATAAAACAATTTAAAAAAAGCATGGTTTTTAATAGCAGACTATTATTGTCTCATGTAGATGTATAGTTCTTCACCTAATTCTTCCTAAATGTTGGATGGTTAGGCTGTTCTTAATTTTACCATTGTAAGTAACCCTGCAGTGGATGACACTTCATGTACATAAATCAATGTGTGCATCTCTAATTGCTCTCTTAGGATAGGTTCCTAAGAGTGGAAAAACTGGATCAAAGGGATGGGTCTCAGACTTGAGCACGCATCAGAATCACTTGGAGAGGGCTTGTTAAAATTCAGATTGCTGCCCCCCCCCCCGAATTTCTGATTCCCAGAAATTTAGAAGCAAATAAATTTGGTTCAAGCCTTTTAAAAAAGATATAATTCATATAACATAAATTAAATACTTTCAAATACATAATTCAGTGGGTTTTAGTATGGTCACAAGGTTGTGCCACCATTACTGCTATCTAATTCCAGGAAAAAAAAATGTGGAGTGCTTTACAAAGTTGTATGTCATCCTTGTGTGGGGGCCATGCCAATCTTCTCTGTATCATTCAATCTTAGTATATATTGGCTGAAGCAAGAACATTTTTTATGTCTCTTGATAACATGACAGATTTCTGTCCAGCAAATGTGTACCTGTATCCATCCCCACCTCTTTTATTGTTTTGCCTCTTTGATTACGTCTTCTTCCTCTTCCACCTGAACTGTAGCGGTACAGTAGAGATCTGCCACCCACCATCTTTCCTTTGCATACAGTACTGTGGGCAATCACATCTACTACAATAGCCTTGGCTGCTTGCCTCCTCTCTGTGGATAATGACTACATGGCCATACCCTGTCCTAACCTCTTTCCAGCACTGCATCCCAGACTCAAGGTTTTTGCTGGGCATGCCTATCTACATAATTTGACAGCACAATAAACAAACTTGTGTCTAAAATCAAACATGTATCCTGAAGCCAGCTCCTGCTTTCCACTTCCCTTTCTAAATTAGTGATAACACCATTCTCGTAGGTGTTTCAGTCATCTTAACTCTTCTTTTTCCTTTGTATTTAATTAGTAGTCCAACCCTGTTGATTCTGTCTTGCATGTTTTCTATCACATTATTCCCTTCTTTTTTCCCATTTTCTGATATTTAATAGATTATCTTTTTAATAAAGATGTCAGTTATGGAGTGTTTTGTGAGATGTTATACTTGGACATTTCTTCTTTACTGATCCTTCATTTGGTTGTTTTGGAAAAGAAGATGCTCACCCCGCCCCCTTGGGGATAAGATCTGGTTTTATATTTAACATTTCTGCTTTATATTTGATGTTACTTTGAGTTGCCTCTTTTTCCTGTTGATCATGAACCACCTGCTGTTTTTTCATTTGGAGATTATGTTTCACTGAGTATTTATTATAATTTCAGCTTTAAATATCACATTTTCATGCATTTAATACATTTAATCCTTACTGTGAAACAGATTAATGGACATTTGGTGTAAAGCTTAAGAACATTAATTTAGTTCACTCTGGTTTATTTAACTGTGTTGCAGTGCTACTGGGATACACTTTTTCAGGACATGTCTACAAGTTGAGAGAGGATGTCAGATCATAATAGCATGCCATTTCATTTTCTCATGCTGCCCAACAGTTTGATAAAGAGCACTCTTAGGGAAAAATAAATAATAGTTTTTCATTTCATTTTCAGCTTGATATTCTCATCTCCAGCTTCTAAACTGTCCTGTCATCTGTTTCTGGTACCTTGTTTTGACCCCTCATCCTAACTTTAAGATAATTTCTTTGTCTGTTCATCATTCCTCTTCCTATTTTTGCTTCTTTGAATATTTTATTCTTTTTTCATGTTTTTTTAAATTTAAAAAATATGTTGTTGAAAATATTACAGCTGTCCCCCTTTGTCCCCATTGACCCCCTCCTCCCCACTCCTCTCCCCTCCCCAGACCTTCACCCTGCTAATGTCTGTGTCCATGGATTATACATATATGCATATAAGTTTTTTGTTGATCTCTTCCCTCCCCCACTTCCCTCTGAGATTCCATAATATGTTGTATGCTTCCATGTCTCTGGATCTATTTTGTTTGTCAGATTATTTTGTTCATTAGATTCCATATATAAGTGAGATCATATGATACTTGTCTTTCTCTGGCTTATTTCACTAACATAATACTCTACAGGCCCCTCCATGCTGTCTCAAAGGGTAAGAGATCCTTCTTTTTTATAGCTGCATAGTATTCCATTGAGTAAATGTACCCTTTTTTAATTAAAAAGAGTTGGCTACAACTTGATAAGGGGCATTCATGAAAAACCTACAGCCAAAATCATACTTAATGGTAAAAGACTTAATACTTTCCCTTAAGCTCAAGAACAAGACAAGGATGTCTGCTCTCATCATTTCTAGTCAACATTATACTAGAGATTCTAGCCTGGAACCTCCAAAGGCTTTCTCTTGCCTTTTGGATTATGTAATACTAGAGGCCCGGTACACAAAAATTTGTGCACTCAGGGGGGGGGGGTCCCTCAGCCTGGCCTGTGCCCTCTCGCAGTCTGGGACCCCTCGGGAGATAACGACCTGCTGGCTTAGGCCTGCTCCCGGGTGGCAGAGGGCAGGCCCAATCCCTAGGTGCAGCCCCTGGTCGGGCTCAGAGCAGGGCTGATTGGGGAGTTGGGGCACCACCCCTGTCATGCACAGAACAGGGAGATTGGGAGGTTGTGATGCCACCCTCAGTCACGATCAGGGTAGGGCCGATTGGGGGGTTGGGGCACCGTCCCCTGTCACACTCAAGGCAGGGTCGATAGGGAGGTTGCGGCGCCACCCCTGTCACTCACAGAGCAGGGCCCATCAGGGGGGTTGGGGCTCTGTACCCTGTCACGCACAGAGCAGGGCCAATCAGGGGGGTTGGGGCTCTGTACCCTGTCACGCACAGAGCAGGGCCAATCAGGGGGTTGGGGCACTGCCCCCTGTCACTCACAGAGCAGGGCCCATCAGGGGGGTTGGGGCTCTGTACCCTGTCACGCACAGAGCAGGGCCAATTAGGGGGTGGGGCACCACCCTCTATCACCCACAGAGCAGGGCTGATCAGGGAGTTGGGGCGCCGCCACTCTCACACTCAGGGCAGGGCTGATGGGGAGGTTATGGCTCTACCCCATCACACACAGAGCAGGGCCCGTTGCAGGAGGGGGGGGTTGGGGAGCTCTCCCCTATCAGGCACAGAGCAGGGCTGATCAGGGTATTGGGGCGCCTTCCCCTGTCACGAACAGAGCAGGGTGGATAGGGAGGTTATGGCCCCGCCCCCTGTCACACACAGAGCCGCAGGGCGATCAGGGGGTTTGGGCGCTGCCCCCTGTCATGCTGATCCCGGTGCTGGGAGGCCTCGTGGCTCCGCTGATCCCGGTGCTGGGAGGCATATTACCCTTTTACTATATAGGGTAGAGGCCTGGTGCACGGGTGGGTGCCGGCTGGTTTGCCCTGAAGGGTGTCCTGGATCAGGGTGGGGGTCGCCACTGGGGTGCCTGGCCAGCCTGGGTGAGGGGCTGAGGGCTGTTTGCAGCTGGTCACACACCCTTCAGGGTGGGGGTCCCCACTGGGGTGCCTGGCCAGTCTGGGTGAGGGGCTGAGGGCTGTTTTCAGGCTGGGGGTGACTGAAGCTCCCAACCGCTCCTTTTTTCCTTTTTTTAATTTTATTCTGGGCCAGCTTTAGCTTTGAGGCTTGGCTCCAGCTCTTAGGTTTCTGGCCTTTGCTTACAATGTTGCCATCCTGCTGGCTGAAGCCCGGTGGTATTTGTTACAGAGTTTCTTAAACTGCCCGCTCAGAGGCCTGTAGCCGCAGGCGGGGAACGTTGGTTTCCTTCGTCACTGAGGCAACCAAGCCTCATGTTAGTTTCAAGCTGCCTGGCTGCCGGCCGCCATCTTGGCTGGCAGTTAATTTGCATATCTCGCTGATTAGCCAATGAAAAGGGTAGCGGTCGTACGCCAATTACCATGTTTCTCTTTTATTAGTGTAGAGAAATGCTTTAATCTGACACTTAAGGGCCACCATGTTCTTGTATCACTCTAATTTTGCTTCCTGTGTCTTATAGAAACTGTGTGTCCTTCCTACAGCATATTCCTGCTTTCCCCACTCATGTTTAAACAAAACCTGGCATAACCTCTCCTCCAGTTTTCTATAGTTGAAATTGTACTGAGTCTTCAAAAATTAGCTTGGAGTCTCTATAAAGTCTTCTTCGATTCAACCAGCTTTGCTTTCTTTTATTTAACTCTCCTTTTGTTAGCATTTCCTTTATGACATGACATTCTGTTCTGTTTAATGGTTACATAGGTATTTTTATTTACCCCTATCACACTGCAAATACCTTGAGCACCTTGATTATATTTTCTTGGTTTTGGTGTGTTTCATAGTAACACTACAAGCACCTTAAATGTAGATAGAAGCTTTATAAATGCTAGAATAAAAGAATGGTGAAAACTGCCAACATTTTTTTTTTTTTAGAACTGCTAATGACTCAGTTTCAGGAATGAATTGTGTGCTAAGAAGGAACAAATGCCAGATGACCCAAATATCACGGTTTATTCTTTTCCCTCATTCTCCACATACAACCCATCAAAAAATACCGTCAGCTTTACCTCTTCAAGATACCTAATCAAATTTCTTTTCTTTATGCCTACTGCTTCTTCCCTTGAACAAACCACCATTATCTCTTATCTATAAGAGCTTTTTAAACTGGAACCCCAGATTCTGCTCTTCTCCTACCTAAATTCATCAACCAAGTGAGATCTTCATGAAACTTAGATCGTGGTAGTCCCCTGCTTAACAACCTCTAGTAGTTAACTATACTGAGAATAAAATGTAAACTTCTTTCCTTGACTTTGAAAAATTCCATGATCTGGCCTTGGCACTTCCCCAATCTCACCTCCTACTACTGTCCACCTTGCTCGCTGTGCTCTAGCTCTGCTGAACGTTGGCCCTTCTTCATTGTCATGTTTGTTCAAGGCAGAATGAATAGGTAGGTAGTCTTGGTTCTATCTGGGTCCTAGCTATTGTTAGTTATTGTCCTACAGCTTCGTGTCTTTAGTAGTGCAGATGGCCAGAAGTAATTCCAAGGGCTTTGAGACTTGACCACAAAACCTTTCTGGATTCTATCTCTCCACTGAAAAGTGGTATCTCCAATAATGAGTTTGAGATTAGTGATATTTGGCTTAAAGGGAGAAGGAATGAAATCTACAATTCCCATAATCTTCTTCCCAAGGAATGCTACAAATATGTCTTCTAGAAACCAGAGCTGGAGGGCAAACATCCTCCACCTTCTTTATCGCTCTTGATATTAGTGTAGGAAATTGAGCATCACAGCAAAATCTGACTCTATGGATGGTTCTCTATGAACCTGCTGTCATTTTCCCTGTGTGCTCCTCTAAAGTCTCCGTCAGCCCTCTTAGCTTTTGTATATACAGGAAAGAGACAAAAACTATCTTCAGTTATTCAGTTCTTGATTGTTCCCCTTACTCCTAGAAGCTGCAAAATGTGCAAAATTCCCCTCCTTGCTTTTGGGATAACTGATAAGAAATAGTCCATGATGGGTATGTTTT